CTAAAAAATCATCAATAATCTAAAAAGTATATATTAAGGACATATTTTCTTAAAATTCTGCAAACGCAATGAACAAAGATGAAAATGTTGAAAAATTCCTAGTTTGTTTGCTTTTGTTTGTTTGGCTTGGTTTTTTTGTTTGTTTGTTTTGTTTTGTTGGTTTTTTTTTAGATAGGTTCCTATATCTTAGGCTGACCTGAAACTATTTATCACATGATGGCCTCCAACAGTTAGCCTCAGTCTCCTTAATACTGGGATTATAGGCATTAGCCATTGCAGTTGCTTAAAATACCATTTATGAATATGTGAAAATAAAGAAGATATCAACCAAAAACTTACAAACACTGCTGATCAAAAAGAAAAGATGTAACAGGCATATGCAGTTCATAGATCATAAGACTTAATTTTCAATAATGTTAATTTTCTATAAATGATACACTGCTAATCAGAATTCAGATAGGACTTCTGTGAAAGTTGACAAGTGAATCCTAAAATGTAAATGAAAATTCAAAGAGCCCAACATGAAGAATAAAAGCTTATTCCAAGGCAGTAGTTTCAAGTTTGGCTTTATAGTCATCAGGGAGATGTCTAGGGACAGTGACACCTTACCTCTTACATAATTAAATGTACTTGTAAGGAGACATCTAGACACTGACAATCTTAAAAACATGTCAGATGTTTCAAATGTGCAATTAAGTTTGAGAACCACAGCCCTGCAGCGTATTCTCATACAGCATGTAAAGTGAATGCTCAGTCATGCTACAGATCCACACGCATTGAGACTGATAGACTGTGTAATGAAGAATCCTGTGACAGGAGAAGCAGAGAAGTCACTAGAAGAGACCCTACTCTGAAACACAGTGCTTCTGACTAGGGGACACAATATAGCATTAGCAAAAGGAACTTTTCTGCCAAGTAAGGTGGGGGACCCCTCCACTCCTAGCACTTGAGAGCTAGAAGCAGATGGTCTCTATGAGTTCAATGCAAGTTTGGTGCACATAGTGAATTCCTGGACTGTCAGGGCAGCATAGTAAGATGCTGTCCCATTTTTTTCATTGTCAGCCGCATTCATTAGCTCTCTATAAATATTGGCCCTCATTTCACACCATAGATAAAACAATTGTTTTGGGGCAGAGAACAGATACAAAGGAAAGAGTAAATAGAAGGCTAACTATTTTCATAACTCATGATAAACAAAAATTTCCTTAGTAACACATAATAGAAATGTGATTATAAATTGAGCACTCTAACAGTAAAATTGAAAACTTGCCCTCATGAAAAGGTACTCCTAAGAAAATTATATAAGTTCATAGAGGAGAAGATAGTCACAGCAGGAAAGATTACCATATATATGGTACCATATATCATCAAGTCATCAAGAAAAATTTATAAACCCTAATATAAATGAACCAGACCTAGGAACCATGTCCTAAAGAGAATCTGCAAACATCACAGAATAGAAAAGAAAATATTGTTGATCTTATTAGACAAAAGGAAGATGTGAACTAAAACCTGCGCTCACTGCAGGATTCCTACCAGAAAGACTAAAATCAAGAGGACCAATGACAGGAAATGTCATCAGGTGTGTTACCGGGAACTTTCAGAGATGTCTTATGGAAATATAGACTGAACAACTGCTTAGGGAACTTTTCTTTCACCACCCACAAGGCACAATATATATATATATACCACTTGATATAGCAAATTTTGCTTATTTTTAATATCCTTGTGAATATGGATGTATAAGAATTTCGTGATTAAACACTACCAATGACTTTAACCCAAATGCCAATCAGCAGTAGAATGGGTAAGTAAATTTTGGTGTATTCATCCAATATTGTATTATACACTACAAGAACTATGCCTATAAACCCAGGATCTCAGTAGGCCAAAGCAGGAGGGTCACAAACTGAACACATGCCTGGACACAGTGAGTCCAAAGCCAGCCTATGGAACTTAGTGAGACCCTGTATCAAAATAGAAAGTTAGGAGATGGTTGGGACCCTTGCTTAGTGACAGAGCACTGACCTAGCATGCACAAGGGCTTAGTTTCAATCCCCAGTACTGATAAAAGAGAAGCAGGGAGAAGAAGAAAGAACAAAAGAAAATAAATAAATAAATAAATAAATAAATAAATTGTATAGAATGGTATAGATTAACTTTACAAGTACACCAATCAGAAGAGTACATACTACACAAAGTTTATACATATATAAAAATCATAGAGCATTGGTTAATTTGGGGAAGGGAGTAGATAACAACTGAAAAATATACAAGATGAGTCTTCTAGAATACTTGTATTTTTCTGTTTCTTGGGTGAGAAGTCCATGGATATACTTAATGTGTAGAAATTCATTTTAATTAGGTGATAACACAGCAGTAAAGTTATAAAGAATGAAGACTATGTTATGAACAAGTGTCCTTTATAAAACAATATGAATTTACCATTTTTTCAAGTTAATATATAAAATCAAGACAATCTAATAATATCCTTCATTAGATTTCTTAAAGAATTAGCTGATTTTGGGTTTTTTTTGTTTTTTGTTTGTTTGTTTGTTTGTTTTTTGTTTTTCGGGATGGGGTTTTTTGTGTAGCTTTGGAGCCTATCCTGGCATTCACTCTGGAGACCAGGCTGGCCTTTAACTCACAGAGATCCACCAGCCTCTGCCTCCCGAGTGCTGGGATTAAAGGTGTGCGCCACAAACGCCCTACTAGCTGTTATCTTTTAAATATACTTTAAAATTCTGTGACGAACTAAGTCAAATTTGGAACACGGAGTAAAAACAAGGGAGTCAGAGGTACCCTGAATTTAAATTAACACTAATTTCACAGCTGCCATTCAAAAAAAGATCATATGATTGGGCACAAAAAAGAAAAAGAAAAAAATTAACAGAACAGAAAAGAATACTTGTATTGATGCATATCAATACAAGAATACAAATGATGCATATGTGAGCATATTATCTGACTTGGAAGCAGCAAGACAGTACTGGGAAATCTTATTTATGTGCACAAAAAAGTAAAATTGGGTCCCTGCACATCTCACAGCAATGCATCCTGCAAATAAACTAAAGACCAAATATAAAATCTGAAACTGTGCAGATGTTGCAAAAATTCTTCCTAGATATACAGAAAGACTTCTTCCATAAAGCTCTAAAAGCATAAACCATGAAACAAGAAGCAATTGATGGCTGCCTTAAAGTGTAAGTTCTCATGTGGTAGAAGGTATATGTGATAATCCCAGATAGTTCACAAAACTTAAGTAAAATCTGAGGGCAACTAGTACAAACTCATTACTTTTCAGGGATGTGGAGGTTTGCATGTGTCAACCTCTTTTTTTTTTTAAATTTTTGTAAGATAGGAGTGGATAATTACTGCCTAGTCTGTGATAGGGTTACATCTTGAAAAGGCCACTGGGAACTAAAAACATCCAAACTCCCAAATATATTGGATACAACCAACCCATGATCATAGACCAATCAGTTCTGTCCAAATCTTGTACAGAATATGCACAAAATTAAATCCTTTGTTGTTGTGTTTGCTTGTTTGTGTGTTTGAGACGGGGTTTCTCTGTGTAACCCTGGACTGGAACTTGCACTGGGGTTAAAGACATGCACAACCTCTACAAAATGCCCATTTTATAACCAAGTGTTTAATATCCCATGTAACTTATTGACTACTGTACTTAAAATGAAAAACCAAAAAAAGAGTGACTGTGCATTTCCACTACATTGAAAAATCAAAACAAACAAACAAACAAAAAATTGGAAGCCTGAGGTAGTCTGTAAAAGGGAAAGTCAGCCATTCTTTAGTTTCCTAGTAGTTTGGCTAGACAGAATTCTTTGTTTTGATTTAACTCTCCTGATCTTGTAAAGAAGAAATAGATATCTATTTCAGTACCTTGTATGTAATCAAATTCACTTTAAAATGCTAGAAAACATATTGGGGATTTTACATATTGCAGTAAGTTACACCAAAATTCACCAGCCTAGTTTTCAATAATTTTCATTGAATTTTAACTTTTCAACACAGATTTTAAATGGGCTTTTGTGGTCAATAGGCACTAATTTCTATATCTTTAACTAAAATTTGCCACTATTTAAGGAGTTTAGAGTGGGGTCACTACAGAAAAAGGAGAATAAAAGCAAGACAAGCTTAGAAGTCTTTCTGAACATGGCAGCACTTGTAATGGTTGAAAGCAAAGAAAGTTCATTTATTGTCTTTTTTGTTTGTTTGGGGTTTTTTTTTGGCTTTTTAAAAAATAGTCTAGAAACAAGTATCAACAAATTTTTTGATACATTTAACTAACCCATGACCATAGCTCAATCTGTTCTATCTTAATCATGTCCAGAACATGCGTTATTATAGTGAGTGAAATCAAGTTCTTTTTTGCTGTTGTCTTTCTTTCATTTGTTTGTTTTTCTGAGACAGGCTTTCGCTATGTAGCGCCGGTCATCCTGAAACTCATTCTGTAGACCAGGCTTGTCTTGAACCCTGAGATCTGGCCTGCCTTTGCCTTCCAAGAGCTGGGATTAAAGACATGCCACCACTGCTCGATACATCTACAAAATGCCCATTTTATATGGATCTTTAAATACCATTTTATGCCCCCTCCTTTTTTTACCCAATTACAACTATTTTCAAAGGATAGGCAGAAGTAGCATGTAACTTGTGTTGACTTACTGACTGCCTACTGAGGAAAAAATCACAATTCACATAGTTCTGCATCCCCATCCCTGTTAGAGCCTTAGTTTCTCCCTCCATCATCAGCTGCTGGCTCTCCACTATTTGGAAGTTTGTTAGATTTGTGTGTCCCTGCTCACCTTTCCTTTAGAAAACTCAGGTTTGTGTTTTTGGATACAATGAGGTTTGAACCTAAGCACCACAAAACTGGGCTGTAGACACATCTTTCATGTATTCTTTCTTAAAAGCTCTCCCACAAATTCCCAAGAGAGTTTATAAGAACTTTCTAGCGAGTTAAACAATTAGAAAATGCTTACCTTCAAAGTAAATGCCTGACTGGATTTCAAGGACTCTGGGGAGGGTCCGTAGGTCAAGGGAATGGACAAATTCTTCCAGCGATAAAGCCATTGTTCGGTCTTGGGTGGTGTACAGATCTGATTCTTACAAAAACTTGTGGCTTCTGGATGTCAGTTGTCTGCAGCTGCTTTCTTTGCTCATAATTCCTCCGTCAGGAAGGCAGAAGGTGGAAGTGGAGCCAAATCAGGGAGGACAGCCTAGGTGGAGTGGTACTTGTCCTAAGTGGCTGTTCTTCACAATTTCTGCCTGGAGCAGAGAGGAGGTCACACTGAAGCCAAGCCCAGGAGGAACAACTAGAGCAGGGGGCGACAGAGAATAGGCAGGAGGCAGAGTGAGTAAAGCCCTTTTTATTCTCCTTGTGGCTTCATTTCCTTCTGACAGTGAAATTGAACAGTGTGGGGGTGGGGTGTGTTTGTCTGAACTGACACTACCCAAAGTAACGAAGTTGGCAAGTTGCCTGTGCATCCACAGCAGTGGCTAGACTGTGAAGAAATAGTCACCTGTGGTGTCACCACTGCACATGGCCAGAATTTGGGAGCAGAAATAGTCACCTGTGGTGTGACCACTGCACATGGCCAGAATTTGGGAGCAATGTCTTACATTAAAAATAGCACAACATCAAATTCATTACCTTTCTGCATCTAGAGTTCAGCTTGACGTTTTATTTGCATACTCTTGATGCTTTTATATTAAACTTGATTACAAAAGAGGCCTGTGTCAGCTATTTTGAGAAATGTGATACTCAGAAGAGTGCTGGAAACCGCTTTCATCTTTCTACATTTAAAATTTTGCTGAACCTTAAAGAAATGTGGGGGAGGGTGGTATATGAAAAGTGACTCAGGAATTAACATGGTAAGTTGATGGGAACTTTCTGGCCTCCACACTATGAAGGAAAACATTTAAAAGCAGTGTTTTGAAACACGACTCCTGGGTTTAGCATTACTTTAGACTTACAGGAGAACATTTCCTCTTCAGAACTCACTGGGTGATTAAATGTATACTTAAAAAGTAAATAAGCAAACTGTACAAGCCTCCAACTTTACAATTCTGCTCTCATGCTCAAAATGTAATGTTGAAAACTCCCAAAGCCAAAGGAAACCAGACAAACCATGTGAAAACTAGTTTTTAAGCATCAAAATCAATCTTCCTGTTTGTTTTCATTTTTAATTTTTTAAAACAAAAGATTTTACTCTGGAGAGCAAGCTGGACTCAAACTCCTGCCAATACTCTGTATTTGAGCTTGGATTACAGGCATGTGTCATGTGCTGGAATAACAGACGTGTGCTATGTGCTAGGATTACAGGCATGTGCCATGTGCTAAGATTACAGGCATGTGCTATGTGCTAGATTACAGGCAGGTGCCATGTGCTAAGATTACAGGCTATGTGCTGGGATTAGAGGCAGGTGCCATGTGTTGAGTTTAGAGGCATGTGCCATGTGCTGGGATTAGAAGCATGTGCCATCGCTAGGATTGCAGGCATATGTTACGTACTAGGATTATAGGCATGTATCACCACACCCATTTAAAGCAGGGTTGTTGTGTTTGTGGGATTTTTTTAACTTAACCTTTATTGATTCTTTTTTTTTTTTTTTGGTTTTTCGAGAGAGGGTTTCTCTGTGGCTTTGGAGGCTGTCCTGGAACTAGCTCTTGTAGACCAGGCTGGTCTCGAACTCACAGAGATCCGCCTGACTCTGCCTCCCAAATGCTGGGATTAAAGGCATGCACCACCACTGCCTGGCCATCCTTTATTGATTCATTGTATCTTTCGAATCATGCATCTCAATCCCATTTATTTCCCAGTCCCTTTGCATCCACCCTCTACCTTTGCAACCTCCCCCAAAAGGTAAAATAAAATAAAATTTAAAAGAAACAGAAAAATCTCATCGTGGAAGCTGTAGTGTAACACTGTGAGTCACACAGTGTACCCTTTAGTTCATACATCTTCCGTGACCTGGGCTGAGGCCTCTGGTTTCTGCTACACCCTCGATACTGTGCTCTCATGAGGGGATTCTCTTGGATATCCTGTGTCATGGAGATCCTGCAACTTTGTGTCCTCAGGACCAACCTGTAGATGGATGGGGTCCATGTTAGGATGTACCAACTCATAGCCCTAGATCTGGGCCTGGGTGGTTGCTGGGTTTGTCAGCCCACCAGCCCTCCCTCATCCTCAACACCAGGGTGAGCTCTCCAGCACCACCTGGCTAGCTCCACCCTATTCAGTAAACAGCAAGGGATTGGCCAGTTCTCCTGCCTTTACACCCTCAGGGTTGGCTCACCCACACCTGCACCACTAGGGCTAACTCTACTGTGCTTCCCAGACCAGATGCAGGGGTCACTCTGACAAGTGCTGCAGCTGATAAGAGGCAGGGCCAGCTTGATGGGGGAGGTCCTTCTGTGTATATGTTTGGCTTATTGGTTGATAAATAAAATACTGTTGGCCAATAGTAAAGCAAGATAGGTGGGACTAGGAGGCAAGGATGATTCTGGGAAATGTAATAAGAGATCCAGGCAGGAAGTGACATAGCAGGCAGACTCAGAATATAAGCAGGGACAAGAAGGAAATTGTCCTCTTACTCTTGCTCTTCCTCTTCCTCCTGCTCTCTGCTCTGGAGCCGCCATGTGATCCCAGGAAGAGGACACCAGCTGAAGGCATCCTCGATATGATAAGTCTTATAAAATATATAGATTTATGATAAAGACTGAGCTAGCATATAAGAAATCCTAGTCAATTGGCCAGCAGCACTGTAAATAATATAAGACTCTGTGTGTTATTCTGGGCACCCACATGGTGGCAGGGCTCAGGTGGATGGAGTAAAGACTTATCATTACAAAATGGTGTCAGTGAGTGGGATCACCCCACACCCTGAGGTTCCCAGAGGAAGTGGTGAACCTGCCACTGCACACTTTATCGTTACACTAGTTCTCTTGCTCTTATGACCTCAGGGACAGCTCTCCTACCTGACACAAGCAGTGAGAGTTGGCTTCTCTCCCTCACCCATGACACCATATAGCAGATGAAGGGTGGGACCAAATTTCTCATCTTCATTATCTCAGGGCCAGTTCACCTCACTGGGACCCTATGGCGACAGGGTCAGCTTTACTGTGATGCCCAGGTGAGATGTAGGGCCTGCTCTCCCAAGTGCTGCAGCCAGTGAGAGGCAGGACCAGTGTTGGGAGCTGCAAAGTACCGCGCCCAAAAGATGGCGCCAGTTTCCGCCTTCCGCCAGCCCTGCGGCGAGTGCTCTCTGTGGTAAACAACTCCTAATTTGGTAAAGGCCATGTATCCTCTTAATTCTGCATGGAGACAACCTATCCTGGTGCACCATGTAGGGTTAGGTGATTGGTAGATGTAGACTGTATCAGGCCCCGTCTTCCTCTACCCAGGGCAGCCATTCACTGTAAATCAAGGTTCCCGATTAAACTGTGTGAAGAAGATTTCTCGGTGTCGCGTCGTTTTTGCTGGTCAAGGGTGGACGCAACAGACCAGCTCATCCACTCTCATGGCTCAGAGACCCACTCTCCTGCCTAAAGCAGGAAGTGAGAGGCAAGGGAGGCATCTCTCCCTTCCCAACGCCAGCTCACAGGTTTTCATGCCCAGCAATCCCACCTGCCACAGGTTGTAAGTGCAGGGGGTGGGGGGGGCATTTCTCTCTTGCTCATGCCACCTTAGGGCTGATGAGGGGTGGAGCCTGATCTCCCATGCTCACATTCTCGGGGATGCCTCACCTGTCAATAGAGTCAGCCTGTGTGTTTTTTTTATGCTTTCTATTCTTTGTACTTAATTCAAACAGTATTTTAGAGGTTACACATACAATTTGAAGTGAGTGTATATTTTTTAGGTAAATGAAGATTACATGAAGTCAGTAGACTTGAAATATGCTGAAGTTGCTTACCCTCCTCACAGGCCTAATTATGTGCTCACTACCTTATTGTGACTACCAAAGACTTTATCCTCTTCATAGTCATGTTCGGCCCTTGTAGCAATTTGCTAACCTTGGTTCTATGCAAAACCAGGGTTAATAGCAAATTGCATCAAATGTTCTCTGCCAGTAATGTCTGCCTAGTCACTTGAAACATCTTGTCTCCTGAATTTTCCAAGCTTGATAAACCTGTCTTCTGTGCCTTTCTCACCTAAACTTGGGCCTCTCACTTGACTGCAAACACTATGTAGCCTAGTGGCACATTTCATATGACTTTAAAACACAGAAATGGGTGCCTCTTGAAAATCACACATTTATTAGAGTTGGTGCCACAGTAAATTTTATTTGGCATGTGATCAATGCTGGGTTTCACTTGTTGTCTTTAACTTCCAACTACAGAGTCTGTCCTTTTAGCCAAAGCTAGAAGATTCCACTATATCATCTGATGTTTATACTTAATCATTCTGCCCCTCTGCTTTTCACACAGAGATCCTCCCTCTGTTTTTTTTTTTTTCCTGGATTCTCAATCATGGAGTTAATGATTCCACCATTTTTAAGAGTGCCACACTAGAAGGCTTAAAGTCACGTGTGAAGAGACGTTTCTGACAGCCTCAAAAATCCCTCAAGCTCTACAGGTGACAGCCCTGAAGGCCATTCCTCTGACCTTGTCCTGTATTGCCATTGCTGCCACCTTAGTCCAAGTTGTCACTACTTCTATCATCTCAAAGACATCCTAATGTGACCAGCCAAGATGAAATAAGGAAAAGAGGGAAATTAATTGAACGGATTTATAGTGAAATGAATTACTGAAGTTCAGTCATGAAAACAGACATGGCAGGGTTAATCACATCAGACTAATGAAAGTTCAGAAACAAACAGACTATATGTCACAATTTCCATTCTGCAGAAAGTAGATTTTTCAAGCCAGTAAGAAAGAAAGAAATAGTTTTCAGATGATTATTAAATAATTGTGGGGAAACAGGATTCTGAAACACTCCATGAAAGAAAACTAAAATAAATTTTAAACTTAAATTTAAATGTAAAGAAACCAAAGTCAAGGGTAAGAAGGTGTAACTGAGGGTTTATAAGAACTTCTCTCAAGCATTAATTGGCGTTTTAAAGGAAAAGACTAATAAACTTGTCAATGAACCTTTGAAATATTTCCATAAATCTAAACAGGATTTTAACAAAAATTATAAAGCATTCACTCAATTTAAAAAATTGACAGCCTTAATTGTGTCCAAGTTGCACAGGTCAATCAGTGTGCAGAATAAAAGTGTTTGGAGACTTGTGCTTCAGACCCTGAGATGGTATCTGATCAACTCTTCTACCAAATTCTTTGGAAAACCCAAATTTCTTTAAAAGCAATTAT